TGTGCCTCTGCACAATGCTGGGTGCTTCACAGTGACCCGAGTACCTGGTGGGGCCTCAGGGGAAGCAGCATGTGGGGTGGGAGTGGAGCTCCGCGGAAGCTCTGCTGTGAGTCACGAGATGGGACTGCTCCAGGCTGACCCCGCACAGCTGTGCCTGCTCACCAAGCCCAACCCATGGCCCCATGCCCTTGCTGATACCCCTGAGCCCCTCCGGCAGCAATCCCCCCTCTCTGCCTGCTGCTCATGGCTGCGTTTGGATGAATCCCCCTGCTTTGTGTGTCTGGGATCATGTTCTGCCCCCACTGTGTCTGTGGCTGCTGCCCTTCCCTGCCTTATCATGTTTTTGTACAGAGCCTGGGTACAATAAACTGCTCAAATATTTGCAGAGATGTCCGTGTACTACCAAAGCAGTCAGCTCCTCTTGTTTGGCTGGGGGGTGGAATCCAGTGTTGCCGTGACTTCCCAAGGGAGCACTGACTCCTCACACCACCACAGCTCCACTGCAGTGGGGCCAGGCAGGAGGCACAGGATGGGACGCTGGGGGTTTGCTGCGGGGCCAAACGTGGCCCAAGAGTGGCCATGGCACCATGTGACAGAACAGCAAAGCCTTTGGGGTGGCACCCCAGAGGGCAGGGAGCTCCAGCACCCCAGGGCGCGAGGCAGCCACCCATCTTTTTGGCTGCAGGGCGGCAGAGGCTGCGCTGGTGGCTGCCCTGGGGACCTTGTGCATGGATGGCACTGTTTGATGTCACCTCACAGTCCTGCAAATCTTTAGTGCAAGCAGTGCCCTTGGCAATGCCCCCAGCCCACCTGTGCCTGTGAGGTGGTTTCAAGCGGCTGTGCCCTTCTTTTTCTCTGCAGCACTGCCTGTCCCCCTCTGTGCCAGCCCAGCACCAGGCACCGCTTTGCCCCAGTGTGGCTTGGGCTGGGCTGGGACAGCAGGACCCCGAAGCCACATGGCACCGAGGAGGACAGTGCCTGCCTTGTTGCTGTCCCCTCGAGACAGGCGGTGGTGGCTGGAGGCACAGTCCCTGCTCCAGTCGGGCTCTTCTCCTCCCTCCTGGGCGGGGAGAGCGGACAGGACATAAAAGGGAGACCAGGGCCAGCTGGACGTTGTCGAAAGCTGCTGGGGCCAGGAGCGAGGGAGGACAGCAGTGAGAAGTGCGGTATTGAGGGCTCATTCTCGCGGGGGAGAGGGCTGGGGATTGGGGTACATCCATCCTGAGCAGACCCTGCTCCCCGGATCATCCCCCTCAGCCCCATGTCCCATATCCCTTGCCCATTAAATGTGCTGGGTGCTGGAGGGATGGGGCATATCTCGGGCAGGCTGGGTTAGGGGGCTGTGAGAGGAAAGGGCTTCATGCAGATGTTGGGAGGCAAGAGCTTTAAAGGCTTTGTGAACCCCCAAAGTGCTTCGTGGGGCATCGAGGACTCTCAAGGTGACCTGAAGGTGAAACCAATCCTGCCCTCATGACTCCTCACTGGTGGCAGAGACAATGAAGGCTGCATCCCTGCTCCCCTCTGGGGCAAAGACAGACCTCTGCCCAGGGATGGGTTTGTGTTGTGGGGTCAGAGGGGTGGAGAAGGCCCACGGGAAGGGCAGCACCTCCCTGTCTTAGCATGTGGAGTGGGTGTCTCACTGCCGGGGAACAATGGGGTGCGTGGCTGTGGCAGTGGGTGCCCACAAAAGGCGACAGCAAGGACACTGGGTTTGTTGGGAGTTGGGCACGCCAATCCCCCACCTCATCCCCCTTTCCCTGCCCTCCTGGGGTGGGGTCCCAGCTTCCAGTGCCATGCTGGGACCAGTCCAATACTGCCCATCAGTCCTTGCCTGCCCTGGGGAGGGCTACGGGGAGGCACTTTGGGGTTGCAGTGGATCTGAGAGAAGACTAACACCCCATGTCCCCCTGCTAGGGCTGGGGGTCCGGGATGGGGCTGCTGGTGCTGGCTCTGGCCGCCTGGCTGGGGCTGGCATCGGCCTCTGAGGAGGTGGGCAACCGCAGCCGGGTCTGGCAAGACGCCCCAGCATGGAG